CAGTAGTACTAACTAAGAATATATGATGATCCTAACTACTGCGTTTTGCATGAGAATCATCTGCAGTCTTTCCGATGCATGGTATCGCCCATATTTTCAACCTGACATCCCACGAATGTCCTTTCGTTAAAATCAGTTACACCTTGACCTAATGTACCTTCCTTTTTCGCACAGTGAAATAACCTGGGAACCCTCTCATCACTTCCATCCCGATCTGCTTCGTGCGTTCCATGACGGTGAGTTGGTAATGGAATAAAGCGTAGCTTTGTCTCTCTCTCTCTCTCTCTCTCTCTCTCTCTCTCTCTCTCTCTCTCTCTCTCTCTCTCTATCTCTCTCTCTCTCTTTTCTGTCTCTCTGTCTCTCTGTCTCTCTGTCTCTGTCTCTGTCTCTGTCTCTGTCTCTCTCTCTCTCTCTCTCTCTCTCTCTCTCTCTCTCTCTCTCTCTCTCTCTTCTCTCTCTCTCTCTCTCTCTCTCTCTCTCTCTCTCTCTCTCTCTCTCTCTCTCTCTCTCTCTCTCTCTCTCTCTCTCTCTCTCTGTCATTTCCCTCTCTCCATCACCTGTTTCACCCCTCTCACAATTTTTCTGTCCTGTCCTCTCCATTTTCATTTCTTTTAAATATCCTGGTCCGGACGAGGGTTACATTACTGTCTTTTTATCATTGAGGCAAATTTCCACATGTCGCGTACGTGCGTCAACAATAAGCGCATTCCCGGTCCTCTATACACTGTATTTTGTTGCTGCCTCTATGCTGTTATCTGGTCCGAATGCTAACGTGTTGAATGGTTCGGTCGGCTTGTGGTCCCTTGTTACAAGTGATTTTGTGTGCGGACAGGTCCGGATGGTTCCGAGGCTGCCACCGTGTCGGAGACCGGTAGCCTCGCAGGGGGCCACCAGTCCGGCGCGCAGTCGGACGCCCAGTCGGACGCCCAGTCCGACGATCTGTCTGACGCCCAGCCCGACGATCAGTCTGGCGCCCAGTCCGCCGTCCTCACGAGGATGATGACGCTGCCAGGACCGGTGGCTATGCCGACGTCTCGTAAGTCTCTCCTTCCCCTCCCTTTCTCTCTCCCTCTACCTTCTTTCTGTTTTGGTCGTTTTCCTGTTTCTCCAACACGCCCTCCTACCTCATCTTACTCCTCTCACAATATTTTTGTTCTGTCGCCAGCCATTTTCAGCTATTCTCGATGTCCCGTCCTGACGAGGGTAACATTACTGTCTTTTTATGATTAAGGCAATGGTGTAGCACACGTTTCCACATGTGGCGTACGTGCATGACCATTAACCCTCGCCGGCACAGGGGGGATGCAACCCCTCCCCTAAGGGTTTTCGCGAATAATTCGTTTTAAAAGCGGTCGATCGCGACGAAACTTTCAGTACCCTCGCATTGATCAATTGACACCTACATTGAAAATTTCATGACCCTGACCCGTATGATCTTTGACCTGTGATCTACTTTCCGAGACCATGTCTGGCCGGAATCGCGATTCGGTGTATGTCGGCTCGCATTAGCCGCGCGTTTGCAAGCTTCTCGTGGTTTCAAACGTTCAAACATGTGATTTGATGTTGCTCCCATACATTGGGGTGGATGTCAAGGTCACCTGAACGTCAGGTCAGGTCATTGACGTTTGGTGACCTCGGTTCAATTTTCGAGTTTTACATGTTTCTAGATTAGTTTTTTACAGGTCTCGATTTTCCCGATTTTTGGGTCATTGACCTGATCTGGAAGGCGAACTGATGACTAGGACCTTAAAATTGGGTATTATCGTCTTCGTCTCGTGACGGGCAGCACGCTCGTTTTTTTCCGCGAAGCTCTAGCTCGATCAGGAGTCAAACGCAGGGGGGGGTCGTACCAACCCCCCTTGTGCCGTCGAAGGACGCAAAATATCCTGTGCCGGCTTGGGTTAAATACGTGTCTGGTGCTCCATACCCAATATTTCAATTCCTACCTCTGTATTGTTTTTTCCGAGTGTTCCTAACTGGCTTACGTGTTGAATGGTTCGGTCGGCTTGTAGTCCCTTGTTACAAGTGATTTTGTGTGCGGACAGGTCCGGATGGTTCCGAGGCTGCCACCGTGTCGGAGACCGGTAGCCTCGCAGGGGGCCACCAGTCCGGCGCGCAGTCGGACGCCCAGTCGGACGCCCAGTCCGACGATCTGTCTGACGCCCAGCCCGTCGATCTGTCTGACGCCCAGTCCGTCGTCCTCACGAGGATGATGACGCTGCAAGGACCGGTGGCTATGCCGACGTCTCGTGAGTCTCCCCTTCCCCTCCCTTTCTCTCTCCTTCTACCTTCTTTCTGTTTTGGTCGTTTTCCTGTTTCTCCAACACGCCCTCCTACCTCATGTTACTCCGCTCACAATAATTCTGTTCTGTCGCCAACATTTTTTTTTTTTTTTATATAAATTTAGCTCGAATGTTTGAATGGACAGATGGACAGAGCCGGAGCCCACGCTGAGCAGAGCTTGTTGCGTAGACCCCGACCCCTACCGTCCGATCGTGCAATTCTGGGTAACGGGAGGATTTAGATGCCAACGTTTAACGTGCCCTTCAAAGCCGGACACGGCCTGTCCCACTCAACCTGGCTGCGGCTGCTTCCACCAACCGCAGACCATCTCAGTCAGGAGTCTCAAATATCGAGCGCCGGAGCGTCTCGAACCCGGGCTCTCACTACCGGGAGTCCAATGCTCTACCAACTGAGCTACGGGACATTTTCAGCTCTTCTTAATGTCCCGGCCCGGACGAGTATAACATTGCTATCTTTTTATGATTAATACAATGGTGTAGCACACATTTCCAACTGTTGCGTACGTCCATGAACATTAAATGCGTTTCCGGTGCTCCGTACCCCATATTTTGTTCCTGTCTCTATATTGTATTTTTCCGAGTGTTTCGAACAGGCTTACGTGTTGAATCGTTCGGTCGGCTCGTGGTCCCTTGTTACAAGTGATTTTGTGTGCGGACAGGTCCGGATGGTTCCGAGGCTGCCACCGTGTCGGAGACCGGTAGCCTCGCAGGGGGCCACCAGTCCGGCGTGCAGTCGGACGCCCAGTCGGACGCCCAGTCGGACGCCCAGTCCGACGATCTGTCTGACGCCCAGCCCGACGATCAGTCTGGCGCCCAGTCCGTCGTCCTCACGAGGATGATGACGCTGCCAGGACCGGTGGCTATGCCGACGTCTCGTAAGTCTCTCCTTCCCCTCCCTTTCTCTCTCCCTCTACCTTCTTTCTGTTTTGGTCGTTTTCCTGTTTCTCCAACACGCCCTCCTACCTCATGTTACTCCGCTCACAATAATTCTGTTCTGTCGCCAACATTTTTTTATATAAATTTAGCTCGAATGTTTGAATGGACGGATTGACAGAGCCGGAGCCCACGCTAAGCAGAGCTTGTTGCGTAGACCCCGACCCCTACCGTCCGATCGTGCAATTCCGGGTAACGGGAGGATTTAGATGCCAAAGTTTAACGTGCCCTTCAAAGCCGGACACGGCCTGTCCCACTCAACTGACTTCAACTGGCTGCGGCTGCTCCTACCAACCGCAGACCATCCCCGTCAGGAGTCTCAAATATCGAGCGCCGGAGCGTCTCGAACCCGGGCTCTCACTACCGGGAGTCCAATGCTCTACCAACTGAGCTACGGGACATTTTCAGCTCTGCTTAATGTCCCGGCCCGGACGAGTATAACATTGCTATCTTTTTATGATTAATACAATGGTGAAGCACACATTTCCAACTGTTGCGTACGTCCATGAACATTAAATGCGTTTCCGGTGCTCCGTACCCCATATTTTGTTCCTGTCTCTATATTGTATTTTTCCGAGTGTTTCGAACAGGCTTACGTGTTGAATGGTTCGGTCGGCTTGTGGTCCCTTGTTACAAGTGATTTTGTGTGCGGACAGGTCCGGATGGTTCCGAGGCTGCCACCGTGTCGGAGACCGGTAGCCTCGCAGGGGGCCACCAGTCCGGCGTGCAGTCGGACGCCCAGTCGGACGCCCAGTCCGACGATCTGTCTGACGCCCAGCCCGACGATCAGTCTGGCGCCCAGTCCGTCGTCCTCACGAGGATGATGACGCTGCAAGGACCGGTGGCTATGCCGACGTCTCGTGAGTTCTCTCTCTCTCTCTCTCTCTCTCTCTCTCTCTCTCTCTCTCTCTCTCTCTCTCTCTCTCTCTCTCTCTCTCTCTCTCTCTGTCTCTGTCTCTGTCTCTGTCTCTGTCTCTGTCTCTGTCTCTGTCTCTGTCTCTGTCTCTGTCTATGTCTCTGTCTCTGTCTCTGTCTCTGTCTCTGTCTCTGTCTCTGTCTCTCTCTCTCTGTCTCTCTCTCTGTCTCTCTCTCTGTCTCTCTCTCTCTCTCTCTCTCTCTCTCTCTCTCTCTTCTCTCTCTTCTCTCTCTCTTCTCTCTCTCTCTCTCTCTCTCTCTCTCTCTCTCTCTCTCTCTCTCTCTCTCTCTCTCTCTCTCTCTCTCTCTCTCTCTCTCTCTCGCATGCTGGCACTATTCATCGACCCGAAAAATATTTTGGTGTCGATGTTGTTCACGTTATGTGCTGGGGAAGCTACAATGCGGAGAGTTCGATGCATATTTTGTTTTTGACGTTTGGTATCCTCAGTTAATTGTTTTTCCTGCTTTTACAGGAGGTCGCCAACCGAAGCCGTCAGCTATGGTGAAGCCCGTTTATCGCAAACCTGAACAAGCTGTGGCTCGTCCGGCTCGTCAGCTATCGCTGAAGAGCCGGACCTAAAACAGCGGACTTGGAAGGATGTAAAGTACCAGGTCCACAATATGATTACGACCCGCCAGAGACGGGCGCTCAGATAGGTGAAAAGGGCTTCACCAGTCCGGCGCCCAGTCCGGTGCCCGGTCCGGCGCCCAGTCCGGCGCCCAGTTCGGCGCCCAGTCCGGCCTTCACCGTTTTTGTGGCAAATACAGCATCTGTCCTTTTTTTCGCTTTTTTGTATCTATGTACGGAAGGTCTCGCCCCGCGCCGTCCGGCCGGTGCTGGATCACACAGACCGGTATTATAGGTAGCACGAAACAAAACCTTGAACTTTTAGAGAAACACCTTAATCCGGGCTTAGATTAACTGACCATTGCATCAAAATGACACACATTTATCACTTAATTGTAATATGTTGCGCAATTATGACCACGTTTATGATAATAAGTGCCCAGCACAGAAGGTCATGAAACCCAAACTGCTGAGTTCCCAATGTCGTGTAGTTGACCTGACCTTGACCCGACCCCTGACTTCAAAATTCAAATTTTGAGTGCTCATCAGACGTGTCTTGTCCCGAGCTTTCTTTTACTGTCTCGCCCGTCTAGCTGCGATTAGTGGTGCTTGAGTTATCGGCTGGGGGTGTTTAACGCCCCCCGGTCCCCAGCATGCGTTGGGTGGAGAGGCACCCAAGCAACTGCCTGGTTTAACCCTCGCCGGAGCCGGACCTATTGGTTTTCTATACATACGCGCCGGCCGAATGGGGTGGGTGCGACCCCCTCGCCGTTTCGCCCCTAATGGAGCTAGCGCGTCGCGGAAAAAAAAACGAGCGTGTGCGCCGTTAGGAGACGCAGAGATTGGTACCCGATTTTAAGGTCCTAGGTCAACCGGTGACCTCTGAGGTCAGGTCAAGTGCCCCAAGAGATGGATTCGGTTTTTGGCGAATAAAAACGCAAAAAAAATATCACAGCCGCGATTTTCACAACATCGTGTTCGCCTTAGTCTGGCGTGTCGAATGAAATGCGGTTGATGTCAGAAGATGCGGCTTGAATCAAAGGTCAGGTATGCCAAGTTTCAGCTCGCCATCGTCAGCGTGTTCGAAACTATCGCGAAAAAAAACTTTTGGGCGGCCTCCCCTTCGGCCGGCGAGGTTTAATATTCGATACCGCTTACCTTATCCGATGACATGTCATCCCGCGAGTATAAATTGTGTGATGTCCCCTGAAATCATGTCTTGTCTGGCAACTCCGCATTCTGTTCTCAGAAACCATGTACTGTATGACGACTCCACACACTGTCCTCTGATCTCGCCTATCTGTATGACGACTCCACACACTGTCCTCTGATCTCGCCTTGTCGCGATTCCCCCTCCCCGCCTCGGCTGAGCGGGCCACGTAACTCCATATGCCGTGAGTACCCCTCCCCCTGCCTGACACCTGAGCGGGCCGCCGCGGTCGTCGCATGGAAAGTTACCGGGTGTGTGGACTGTAAAACTGATAATGATTGGCTGTTTTCGACCAATGGTTTGGGCTGTCTGTCTACTTTTATTTGGCAGCAATGTGGAAGCCTGCACTGAACGACCGTTTTCCAATACAGTTCACTACCAGAGGTTCACCCGTTTGTACCGCCGACCGACCGAATCAGCGTTCGTAACCACCATTAATCACATAAGGTCCTCCGGGCCGGATGGCTGATCCTTTTCAGTCATTTGTTTTTGCTTTTGATTTCGTTTGTGAGAGTCGATACCGTCAAGATTTTGAAGTGCTGTGCTTGTGCGTGATATATCAAGATGGAGGAGGAGCTGAAAATCAGGAGCCGTCTGAGAGGTAAAGCCACCCGTCTGAGTAATGATTTGAGAGAGTACCGAACGTCTCCCAGTGTTGATCAGGATGATCTTGCATATAAGATCCATGTGCTGGAGAAAGTCAGGACTGAGTTGAAGGAGGTACAGGTCATGTTGGATAAAGCAGAGCTGTTTGACGATTCCAACCACGATGATGTCATGTCTGAGGAGCTGTTCAAAGCTTCACGTCTGCTCAGTCGCCTCGAATCTGCCTCAGATAACCCCAGCCCGGCAGATAGGGGTTTTGATGACCAGCAGTTCGACCTGCGCTCGTCGTTGGTGGTCAAGCTGCCTACCTTCGAAGGCGACCTGCTGAAGTGGGCGGAGTTTTGGGAGCTGTTTAAGGTGTCCGTCCACTCCAACAAAAGGTATGCTGACGTGCAAAAGTTTGTACTGCTTAAGTCTCTGCTGGGAAACGTGCCGAAACAGGTCATAGAGGGTATACCCGTGTCGGAAGAGGGATATCGTGCGGCTGTGGATGTTTTGATACGTCGTTATGCCAGAGATGATGTGAGGCGGGACATGCTGTTGAAGCAGCTCCTTGAGCTGCCTGGTGTGTCCAAACATGATGACTTGAACGCTCTGCACCGCCTGATTGACCAACTGACCGCTCGTGTACGAGGCCTGGAGGCTCTCGGGGTGACTTCTGACACTTTCTCCAGCATCCTCTTGCCAGTGGTCAAGGAGAAGCTGCCGGAAGCGTGGCGCCTCGAGTGGGCGCGCGCTCAGACGGCATCGGCGGCGGACTTCAGCGCCTTTCTCGACTTTCTGCAGCGGGAGATGGAGGTCCGCGAGCAGGCTGCAGCAGGACCAGCCAAGACGGCAGCTGATTCACCCAGACCCTCCGGCTACACTGCGGTGAGTGGCCTGGCAGCCAGCCGGGTGATGTCCCCGGCGAGAGCGCAGGGTCTGAAAGCCACCAGATCAGCAGCGCGCGCCGGTGATTGGTTGTGTGTGGCCTGTGGGAGAGCTAAGCATGGCCTTGCTTCCTGTCATGCGTACCGAGCTCAAGATGTTGACACCCGTTGGGAGATCGTTAGAGCTGCCGGTGTGTGTTACCGCTGTTTGGGTCCTCACTTCGCTCGTGACTGCCGGAGCTCGGACTGTCCACGGTGTGGTGGCCCTCACCACTCCAGCCTTCACAGCTTCAGCACCACTGAGGTGCCCCCGCGACCAGCAGCTCAGTTCGTCGGCCGAGCCGAGCCGTCTCCAGGAGCTGACGGACGGCTAAGACCGCCACCTGCAGACCGCCGAGGTGGCCACCAGCCAGCGCACCCAGCACCACCACCACCACCTGTCGGTCAGCAGTCACAGCGCACAGGTTGGTCACCCACCGCTTCCCGCCAAATCGTTGCGACTGCTCAGTCCGGGACTGACGCACTCGTAGGACATGACTCTGTACAAGCGAACGAGCCTGGACGTGTTGGACACGCTATCCCTCCATGTGCGTCTGCAAATGTGGTGCTCGCCACCTCTGCCACCCAGTCGCCTGCCGATGCTGATGTGATGACCGACGCCCTCTGTCTGCCTGATGACCAGGAGACTCAGACAGCTACCGACCGTCCTGACGCCAGTGGAGGTGTCTGCTTCACCCAGACTGCGCTGGTGGAGGTGACTGGACCCCGCGGCACCTGCATGCTCAGGGTTCTGATAGACGGAGGCTCAGACTCGTCCTACATCCGTACCTCGGCCGCTGATCTGCTCGGTCTTCCCACGGTGGGGAGCGGCACCTTCGCCTGCATGGGCTTCCAAGAGCGCGGTGAGGAGCCCCGAGTCTACGAAAAGGTGAGGGTGGCTATGAGGAGTCGTCACGGTGGGGAGGAGCACCTGTTCGACCTGTGGAAAACCGACCGTCTGTGCTCACTGCCAACCCCTGCCCGACCACCTGCCGTGACCTATCAACCGCACCTCCTGCTCGCCGATGACTACCACGGTGGACCTGTGGATATTCTGATCGGTGTTGACCAGATGTATAAGGTGCTGATGTGGAAGCAGATCCCACTGACTGACCGCCTGCGGGCTGTGGAGACCGTATTTGGGTACGTTCTTCATGGCAGAGACGATGCACCAGTCGCCCCTCCCGCAGCGAAGTACGTGCTCCGCTGCAGTCGTCTCCAGATCGACTGCAACAGGCTCTGGAGTATGGAGGCTCTGGGGATTCAAGTTGAAGATGAAGAGCGGAAGCAGCCACCGGAACCGACGTGGAACTCGAAGGAGAACAGGTACGAGATGGGCCTGTTGTGGGCGTCCGACGAGCGTCCCATCACCAACCTCACGTCCACAGCGGCACGCACCGGGCGCATGGAGCAGCGCCTGGCACCAGCCCAGCGCCGGGAGTACAGCGAGCACCTGACCGAGCTGCAGCGAGTCGGCGTGATCGAGACGCCGCCAGACGACGACCGCAGCGGCTTCTACCTACCACACAGAGGCATCTGGCGTAATGGGAAGCTGAGAGTTGTGTACGACGGTTCTGCCAGGGACGCAGCCGGGCGCAGTCTCAACTCCTACCTCGACGCCGGGGAGAACCTGCTGCGCAGCCTGCCAGTGGTGTTGCTGAACTTCAGGCGGGACGTGGTGGCGGCACAGGCTGACATCAGATCGGCCTTTCACCAGGTCTCCGTCTCCGAGGTGGACAGGAAGTATCTGCAGTTTCTGTGGGCCGACCAGCGCCTGCGCTTCAGACGCGTTCCGTTCGGACTCACCTGTTCTCCTTACATGTTACTGCAGACGATCACCACCCACCTGGCCCAGTACCGTACCACAGATCCGCTGCTTTGTGCGAAGCTGGAAGCAGGACTGTATATGGACGATGTGTGCATCTCTTTCGCCTGCAGGGACGAAGCTGACTCGAGCATGAAGAGGACGGCAGAAATCTTCTCGGATGCCGGGATGGACGTCCACAAGCTGCGCATCTCCGGAGACGACACCGGTGCGGCAGCTCCAGTCCTGGGCCTGCGATGGTGCACCAGCTCCGATCGCCTCGCCGTGCGTGTGCCTGCTCTGCCAGTCATCACCACCAAGCGCCAGCTGCTATCGACTCTGTGTAAGCCGTTTGACCCACTTGGCGTGCTGTCACCGTGGCTGGTTACCGGCAGAGCTCTGTTTCAGAAGACCTGGACGCAGCAGCCTCCCCTTGGCTGGGACGAGGAGCTGAGCCCTGACCTGAGAAAGGAGCTGACCGCCTGGTGTGTAGGGGCCGATGACCTTGATGTGTGGTTTCCTCGCACTGTGAAGATATCTGCTGACGTGACATATCACGTGTTCTGCGACGCCTCGAAGCTGGCGTACTGCTGTGCCATCTATGCCGTGTGTGACGGTGATGTCCGTTTGTTGATCGCCAAGTCTCGTCTCGCACCTGCAGCCCCTGCCCTCAGCGTGCCGCGCCTGGAGCTGATGGCGGCTCTCATCGGCTGTCGTCTCATGGACCTCGTCAGAAGTGCGCTGGACCTCACCGAGCCAAGAGTCGTCTACTGGACGGACGCCATGGATGTGCTCTTCTGGTTGGATCAGCGCCGCGCCATGAAGGTATTCGTCCAGAACCGCGTGACCTCCATCCTTCAGTTGACTAGCCGAGACCAGTGGCGTCATGTTCGTGGGCAAGATAACCCGGCGGACCTCGGGACGCGCGGCCTGTCCCTGTCCGAGTTGACTGTGTGTGATGTTTGGTGGCGCGGACCCGACTTCCTCAGGTCTGCGTCTGCTGGACCGCCGCTGCAGCTGCCTGCTGTAGACACCGATCTGCAGCCGTCTTCGGATGCAACCGTGGAGCTGAAACGGGAAAGAGTCGACAAGAAGGTGAGCCTGCTAGCAAGACAGTGTGAGGAGAATGTACCATTCGACGTGACGACCTGCTCTCGTCTCTCACAGGCTGTTGACCGACTGGCGTGGATGCGCCGGTTTGTCTACAACTGTCGCCTGCCGACGCGGGAGCGGATGACCGGACCACTCACACCCGAGGAGAGGAAAAGGAGTCTGAGCTATTGGATCAGAGCTGCTCAGCACCGTACGTACCAGAGAGAGATTGATGCTGTGCGCACTGACCAGTTGCTTCCAACAGGATCACCCCTGGCGAAGCTTCACCCGCAGCTGGATGACGATGGAGTGCTGGAGGCGACTCTCAGGACTGGCGAGCGGCCGGTGCCGATCCTGCCTGACCTCAGCCACATCACGACTCTGATCGTCGACGAAGCGCATCGTAGATGCTTTCATCAGGGAACGCGCGTCACTCTGGCTGTGCTCACAGCCGAGTATGCGGTGAGACGACGGACTGTCCGCCGCGCTGTCGATTCATGCCGCCGATGTAGGCGATACCGGGGTTTACCCTACAGATCGCCAGAGGGCGCTCTGCCGAGCTTCCGGACCCAGCCAGCACGCCCATTCGCCAAGGTCGGCGTGGATTACTTCGGCCCGCTGTTTGTCGACAACAGCGCCACCAAGGTATGGGCGTTGCTCGTTACCTGTGCCACCTCTCGTGCCGTGCACCTTGAGCTGGTTCGTTCCCAGGCGACTGCCGATCTCGTTCTGGCGCTGAGGAGATTCTTCGCGCTTCGAGGAACGCCAGCCGTCGTCTACAGCGACAACGCCAGAACCTTCCGTGCACTGTTAGGTCATCTGCCAAGGTGCGTTACGTGGCGCTTCATCCCGGAGGCCGCTCCCTGGTGGGGCGGGTTCTGGGAGAGAATGGTGGGCGTAACCAAGAAGGCCCTGCGAGTCACTCTGCATTTGTGCCACCTGACTTTCGATGAACTGTCTGCAACACTCTACGAGCTCTCATTTTTTATCAATCTGCGTCCACTCACCCTGGGTGATGGGGAAGACCTACTGACCCCTGCCCACCTACTGTTCGGGGTAACCACCATAGACGGTGTTCTGTGCCCGACGCTGAAAGAGTCCTCTATCAGCAGGGCCTGGCGGCACCAGAAACGGATGTGTAACCAGCTGACCCGGCGTTGGTGCGCCGAGTATCTCAGCGCCCTGCGCTGCTGGAGCACGTCACCTCGCGGTCGGCCGAATCGCACGCCTCACGTCGGTGACGTCGTCCTCGTGCACGGCGAGGGACCGCGCGGCCGGTGGCCGGCAGCTCGGGTGGAGAGACTGCTGGCCGGGCCGGACGGCCACGCGAGAGCCGCCGTCATCCACTTGCGTGGGCGGATGACGCGCCGCCCGATCAGCCGGCTTTTCTTGCTGGAGGCGGCAGCCTGAGCCGCACCTGTGTGATATCTGTCGCCGCGAAGTGCTGCTCTGATCTATGTGCGTCGCGTTTAGTTTCTTTGTGATGTCTGATGCGCTAGACGTTTGGTTTTCGAAATCTATCTCGATTTCGAGTGGGGAGTATGTCGCGATTCCCCCTCCCCGCCTCGGCTGAGCGGGCCACGTAACTCCATATGCCGTGAGTACCCCTCCCCCTGCCTGACACCTGAGCGGGCCGCCGCGGTCGTCGCATGGAAAGTTACCGGGTGTGTGGACTGTAAAACTGATAATGATTGGCTGTTTTCGACCAATGGTTTGGGCTGTCTGTCTACTTTTATTTGGCAGCAATGTGGAAGCCTGCACTGAACGACCGTTTTCCAATACAGTTCACTACCAGAGGTTCACCCGTTTGTACCGCCGACCGACCGAATCAGCGTTCGTAACCACCATTAATCACATAATCCGGCCCGGAGGACCTTATGTGATTAATGGTGGTTACGAACGCTGATTCGGTCGGTCGGCGGTACAAACGGGTGAACCTCTGGTAGTGAACTGTATTGGAAAACGGTCGTTCAGTGCAGGCTTCCACATTGCTGCCAAATAAAAGTAGACAGACAGCCCAAACCATTGGTCGAAAACAGCCAATCATTATCAGTTTTACAGTCCACACACCCGGTAACTTTCCATGCGACGACCGCGGCGGCCCGCTCAGGTGTCAGGCAGGGGGAGGGGTACTCACGGCATATGGAGTTACGTGGCCCGCTCAGCCGAGGCGGGGAGGGGGAATCGCGACACGCCTATTGTCCTCGGATGGTCAACATCACATAACACCAGTTCAAATGGGCCCAAAGCTAACAACAGTCAATACGTAATATCAGATACTGTGCCAATGATTCATATGAAATTAGGAGTCAATCCAACGCAGTCTTCGATGTGTCCTCGAATATGACCTACGTGCGGTGTCCTCATAATTCACACTTTACAAGTATGTGTGTGTGTGTGTGTGTGTGTGTGTGTGTGTGTCCGCCCACCCCACCCAGCCGTGTTTGTCGGGTCCCCCCCCCCCCCTCCGGTCAGGACCGGCAGTGTTTGCCGTCTCTCACCTGCAGCGCACGGGGCGGACGCTGATTGGTCGTTTCCGGCGTCCGTATGAGGGCGAGCGGTGACGTCAGGCCGACTGCGCCGTGTGCCGTGCAGTGTCCGCCGCCGGCGGCGCCGGGCCGGCCCGCGCAGTGGTCGGGGCGGTCGAACGGGGGACGGGCGGTCAGCGGCGGCGCAGCGCGACTGCAGACATGAGGGGACTCAGCGCTACAGTGGCGATCCTGGCGGTAGTCGGCGTAGTTAACTCGCAAGGTGAGCAATCTTTTGACGTCTAAGTAATGAAAGCAATATTTTTAGAAGTAAATACAGCAAAAAAAAAGTTTTTAAACACATATAAGAAATGGCTGAAATTTGCTGACATGCAAGAAGGTGTTCATGGGGAGGGGTGGCGACCTTGAAGTTGCATGCAATGCTTGCCGCCTGTCAGTCTCAGCTGTGACTGTGCTCAGTGGGGACTGTTGAGTCACGCGGGAGGCAGTGGGTGTGTTGGTGGGGATCGCCGCTGTTACCCGACACCTGTGCAATATCTAGGTAAGTGAAGGGGCGGGTAAAGGCGAGAGCAGTGCAGGAACCCAAACAAACGACAAGGGGATCTAGTGGCTTGTCCTCCGTGCCCCCATTCATAAGCAGCGGAACGCGGGGGGCATCGGGGCACCGTGCCCCCCTTTGATTTTGGCATTTTAACATTAGGATTAGCCCTATGGGCGTTGCATGGAAAGAATGGGACCAAAAGTAGACAGTGCCCCCCCCCCCTTAATTGAAGGTGTTCTGCCGCCACTGACACTGGACCTTGCATGCGGGTTGCGAGTTTGCGGGTTTTGAGTTTGCGGGCATAATACTAATTCATAAAGTGATTAGACAGTATAACCCATATGGTAACTTCATGAATACAGTGAAGCCGGTACACCTTCAGAAAGTTACATATAGTCGCAATAGCAGCGCAACGAACCAAATTCGACTCCAACGAAACACCCGCAAACCTCGCAGAAATCGCAGACCTCGCAGCGAGGAAAATCGAAAGTTGACTGATAACTTTTGGAATACGATGCAAGGTGGCTCGCAAGCTAAAACATGGGCAGACTCGCTTGTTAGTTGGTAGCGTGGGTCACTCAGCTTAGATTGTATTGTATTATAAGATTTTGAAGAAACCTAAAAACTCGCAACTCGCATGCGAGGTTCAGTGTGGGGCGGCCTAAAAACAGCATAAGTTACGAAATCTGTCCAAAACGTCAATTTTTCCGATGAAAGTGCCATTACGGGTGCACGTTGCCCATGCTATCCTTTGCATCGCACACCATTCGATAGCCCCTTCAATTCTCTTCAAGGCGATGCTTTCCCCGTGCCGATCGGGCGCACGGTTAACGAGAATAGCACAGGGACCGGACCCGTGTCGGCCAAATTTAGCCATTTTCACCCGATTTCGCATGCCGATATACATGTAAGTCTATGACGCGAATTTGCACTTTTTGGGTACGCGCCACGCGCTTACTGTCAACCTGATCGAGCTGAGACCCTTCAAAGGCACCCTGCGTATCCCTGATTTATAAAATGTGCAAATTTCAGCACGCTAGGTGCAACAGTCTGGCCTGTACCCCGCGCTAAGTAACACCATGTCGGGACCTACAGACCAACAGACTGATGGTGTCAGAGTCCAGCCCAAATCCCGATCTGCTGGGCGCGGTGGGATCCGATTTGGGTGGAGCTGGCCCGGCACAGCACAGAGGCCACCCCATCGCATTCATCCCGCCGTGTGTGTGTGTGTGTGGGAGGGGGGGGGCACTGGGGTGTCGGGAACACCATGCCGGTATTCAGGCCCTTTGATCCGCCCAAGGCCAGGCAGTACCGTGATATACCCCTCGGAAACCTTACGCGCCGTGGGGTGGGGGCTCAGCGACAGGTGGAAAATCCAAACCGGCCGGCTAAAACCGGGATGCCGTGTTTCTGCGTTTAAAGTGCTCCACTCAGGCTCAGCGCTCCCGCCACTCGGTCTCACTTGGTCTTCATTGCACCGCTTGGCTTCCACGTCACTCGGTATGCCTATGCCTATAACAAATAATATGCCTATACCTATAACAAATAACACCCATGACCCAGGACACTTTTGTATAGCTCATAACTGACTGATTCAGCAGACACGCCGCACGCATAACCTACCGATCACGGTGCGCCGAGCGAAATGTATCGACCGCTCGTCATTGAACTGTTTACCCGCCGCCTGTCATTCACAGCCGCTGCGCTGTCCTGCAGCCAATAGCCATACAGCCGCTGCGCTGTCCTGCAGCCAGTAGCCATACAGCCGCTGCGCTGTCCCGCAGCCAATAGCCATACAAAACAGGTTTTTACAGTTGACACATTTGTATTTCTAATCTTTGGTTATGCGCTTCTGTGTGGTTTGAATTATTCTATGTACTTGTATCGTTGAAAAGCACATAAACAAATAATAAACATCTAATAGAATCAGTATAATGATTACTACTCGCCGATGACCACTGTACAGTCTGTCTTAAAGTTCCGCGCAAAGTGACCGTGGATCCATCAAGCCTGACCGAGGAAGGGCCTGCTATAATTTGAAAGTCACCGAACCAATTAACCTGGGGAATGGACGAGGATGTCAATTGCTTCGGTGACTCAAATTTAGCAGACCCTTCCTCGGTTAGGCTTGATGGATCCACCGTTACTTTGCGCGGTACTTGTAAGACAGACTGTACTCCGCCCCCCCCCCCGATTACTTCAACCTTCAACTATTCATGCCTTTTGAAGTTATTGATATAAAATGGGTTACTGTATCTATAGATTGTCTCCGTAGCTTATGTGACGCAATGTCTACTACATATACTACGTATACTACATATAGTCATCGTCACGCCACAAAGTGTCGTGGTAATAATTTAAATTGTTTTCATAAAGTACGTTACCTAATTGCACTGCGTGCACTCAAGTGATGTATTTGCGTTTCATCGAAGCAAAATCAATAGCAAACGTTTGAAATTAACCCGCGCCCCACTGGGGTCTCCGTATAACACGCCCTACTGGGGGGGGGGGCTCTCCATAGCCCCCCTCCTAACTCCGAAACTACTGGGCCGATCGTCAAAATTTAAACGGCGTCTGATAGCCCCGGAAAAACTGTCGAACGAAACCTAATTTTATTGACCTCGAGGTCACCGATGACGTCACAGGTCAGGTCAAAGTAAAAATTATTAGCATTTTGGCTTGTTCCCATTTTGGGCTCGGGCCGCCGTCTTACAAGTCAGATCAGGCTCATGTTTGGTTTACACACTCGTGAACAGATGCTCTAGATACCTTGAGGGTACCAAACTTGTACTTTGATTTTCAGGTCAGGGCCAGGTCATCACAGGTCACGAAAATATTATATCATGCGTCGGTCACGTGACACATGTTTTATGGTCCATTTAGGCCAGGGGTCGGCAAATGGTGGGGCATGCCCCCTTTGGGGGTAATGGAGCCCTTTCGGTGGGGGTAATGAGGGATTCTGAGAAAGCCTATCCTTTTAGAGTTTGTAGCTGCAGTGATGGAGTCATCGTGACTGTTGCATCCCAGGGTTCAAAGATTAGCCCAGGCCAAAGGCACAGCACACATTGATTAGATACCAATTTTCACGTACGGGGACCCGCAGTTGCTTCTGTACAGTGTGTCTAAAAAGAATGTACCGTCGCCACTACGTGGCGCTGGTGTCGCGAGCCGGTAGTTGGCTGAATCCGCACCAGACCACACATTCCCAAGCGCTAGGTGACAGCTGCGCAGCGGCCGGTAGTAGCGTAAGCCCGAACCTTCGTGACACGACCCCGGGGGGGGGGGGGAGGGAGGGGAGCGGGCGGGGCAGCGCGTGTAGGGTGGGGTGCTCCAGCAAGCTGGCAGTTGTCGCGGCCAAAGGTCAAGGGGTCACACACCAAGCGAACGGACGCTGATATGGGTTCGTGGGGATCATAAACTTGTGTGTGGTAGGTGCGTCTTGCGATGCACGCGTGATACGCAAAAGGATTCAGGGGAGAGCTGAAGAAAAACACCTGGTCAACTACGGCGAATAATAGTGCTGAAAAATGGAAAGTATGGGTCAATGCAAGCCTTCATGACTATAAACAACTTTCTGAGGACGCAAAGGCCAGCATTGAATAACGATATCCGGATCGAAATTAGCAATGATTTACCTATAATTAAATGCCGAACTAATAGCGCTGCAAAACCCTCCTAGTAAATTGTCAAGTCGGATTATACCCACTTGAATTAAACTATCCTAAATAAAATTGTTAATTAACTTTCTAACACTGACGTTCTTTATCATACGATAAGTATGGGGTTAACCAAGATTCAGCATCTTCCGCGTTCAAACAATCACCTGTAAGGCTAGAACATTAATGGCCAGGTAAAAACATGGTCGGGATTTGATTAACCGGATTATAAGTCGATTTTTTTAGTCGGGATTTGATAAGTCGGATTTTTTTACGCCAACCGCATTTTTAAGTCAAGTCAGGTCACTGATCTATGACGTCATAAATGAGCAGTCCTAAAATGAACTGTGTGAAACTGTCCTAAACTGCCCTCAACATTTTAGGACTGTGTGCACAGTCCTAAAATGTTCCAACTTCGCAACACCCTCAGTGCAGAGCTTTCATAGGGAGATGAAACTTACAGGATCTTATAGTATGATCGAGAGGTCTCACAACTTGTATAAATGTATATCTCGGATTTTCTGAAGGGTCGCCTGAGATCAGGTCAGTCTCTCACCATTAAAAGTCAGGGGAATATGGAAATTGCTAGTTTGGTCCGGAAATGATATACAACTATCTCAAATTCTCAAGCACACGGAATCGTGATTTCATGCGCTCCTTGCAAGGTCCGATGCTTCAATTTTACTTTGTTGATTTTGCGTGACGTCATTTATCACGTAACTAAGGCTATCAGTTTTTCGTCAATAATTCCCGATCAACTAAAGCTACCGAGTCGATAAAGCCACTAATGGACATGAAAAGACCTACCGAATCGATTGATATGCAATATGACCTCCTTTGACCAGCTTCGTGACCTGACGGGCTGTGACCTGACCTTGACCCGAGGTTAACACCTTAACTCTCGCCCGTATTAGTGTTTCCAGCCGCAAACGTATAAGGGGGGGTCCGTTGGACCCCCCTTGCCGTTTCGCCCCTGATCGAGCTAGAGCTTCGCGGAAAAAAAACAAGCGTGTTGGCCGTGACGAGAGGAAGTCGATGATACCCAATTTTAAGGTCCTAGGTCAT